CTTGGCTGTTCTTGTTGGAGGAGGAGCTTTGGAACTTCATTGATGCTGAGAATGGCTGTGGTTCATTTGGGGGGGAGGGGCTCTTGACCTCATCTTGAGCATTGTTTCCTGGCTCCGGAGGGGAAGATAGTCCACTGCCCAAACTCCTGGAGAAGCTTGTTGGCTTTCCTGATGGGAACTCAGCTTTCCTCATCCTCAGAGAAGCTCAGGACCTCATGGCTGCTGAGGATGGCTGTGGAACTTTGTGGTGGTGGAGTTCTGGTTCTTACCTTGAGGATTACTTCCTGGCTTCAGTGCAGATCTTTTTTTGACTGTTTAAAAATGATATATATTTAATATGAAAGGCACAAGTGCTTTCTCCCACTCCTAAATTCTGTTTTTGACCTGCAGATATATGGATTGCATTCTTATCTACCCTTTCCACAAATTCCTTGTTAATCTTTCAGGAGCCTCTGCATCATATCTGAAGTCGCACATCAAAGTTACAGTTTGCCAAGGTCAGTTATCTCCTCTACTCCTTGCTGGGCAGGATGGCTTTAATAAGGGACTATGCTGCTGAGGGTCTTTTTTTTTTTTTTTTTTTGTGGAACCGGGGATTGAACTCAGGCCCTTGCGCTTGCCAGGGAAGCACTTATTCCACTGAGCCATCTCCCCGGCCCCTTGCTGAGGATCTTAATTCTTTTTTTTGCGGAGCCAGGGATTGAACTCAGGCCCTTGTGCTTGCTAAGGATGCGCTTATTCTACTGAGCTATCTCCCCGGCCCGAGAGTTTTAATTCTTTTGTTGCCAATGGATAGCCATCACAAGTAACTACTTTTTTTCTGCTGTACTAATGAATTACTCTTGCATAGAGAAGGCTTCCAACTTCTTCACTGGCCGTTCTCCTCCTGCACTGACCTCTCTTTTCCTTACAGCCAGATGCTGCATCCAAACAGACTTACATTAAGGCCTCAAGGGCTTCTTGTTGCTATGACATTAGTATCATAATTATGTCGTTCATATATGTGAAAAAAGGTCCTGGTTCCACAAAAAAAAAAAAAAAAAAAAAAAAAGGAAAAAGAAAAAAAAGGTCTTTTGCATATGAAAAAAGGTTTTCCTTAAATCAGCTTACTATGTAAACACTGTTTATGCAGAGAGAAAGCTTGACAGGTGACACACGCTAAATTCAAGTTACTTCTGAGTAGCGGGATGACTTGAGTTTTATTTTCTGACCTCTTTTTATTTTTATTTATTTATGTATTTTTGCAGAACCGGGGATTGAACTCAGGCCCTTGCGCTTGCCAGGGAAGCACTTATTCCACTGAGCCATCTCCCTAGCTGAGTTTTATTTTCATTTAAAAAATTTCCACAATCACATAAGATTCACTTACTTTCACATTAGAACACACTAACTCAAAAATTCTCAAATTTTCTAAAAGGAGTAAGAAAAAGTGAGACGCAACAGCGAGGAGACACTGGCTGACCTACCCTTTCTCAAGACCCAGGAAGAAGGGGGAGAGACAGATTTCCAGTTTCACTGCTCAGGCTGTGAAACTTTCCCAGGCACGCCTGGGAAACTTCCTGATAGGACGATCTTTCTCTTCATAAAGTTATGACCCCTTCGCCCATTCCTAAAGCCTTGTGGGCACCTCCGCCTTTCTACTTAAGTACTCCAAACTGCCAATAAGCAGCGTTCTTTCGCTTCCGTTGCCAGGGTAACAGCCGCAAACTCAATTCGGCTTCCGTAACTGTTCCCAGAATGCCGCGCGCCTTCCCGCGCTCATTTCCCGGGTCCGACTCCTTCCGGAGACAGGTGACAGTTGGTCTCCGGAGGTTGCTGGCAGGACGTTAGCATGGCCAGACTAGAGCATATATTTTGGGAAGATCAGTAAGGAGTGTTTTTTTCCCCTCCAACATTGCAGGCGATTAGAAGGCTAAGGAAAGGTTATAATCTCATGGATTTTTTGTTGATTCTCGATAAGTGGATTAGGTTTTATTAAGAAAAGGAGAGGTATATATTTTAAGTAGCTTGAATTAGCCATCCCACAATGTATACATGTTTTAAAACGCTGCATACCATAAATAGATATTTTATTTGTTAAATAAATAGTATTTTAGAAATCTTTTTGAGACAATGTTTCACTGTCCAGTGCAGGTTGGCCTTGAACTCACATTGTAGCCCAGGCAGGGCTCGAACTCAGAGATCCGCCTGCCTCTGTCTTCCGAGTGCTCTGATTACAGGCATGCGTCACGACGTCCAGCTAAAATAACGTTTATAGTTAAAGAGCTGACCCTCCTTTGAGGGCATAGAGCAGTAATCTCAGTACTGTGGAGGCTGAGGCAGGAGGATTACTGTGGGTTCAAGACCAGGTTTACATACATAGCCAGACCCTGCCTCAAACAACAACAACAACAACAACAACGGAAGTTAAAAAACTAGGGGTGGACATGGTTATGCACTCCTGTAATCCTAGCATTCGGGAGATTGTAGCAGGAGGATTGCTGCAACTACCAGGCCAGCCCAAACCCTGTCTCTGAGTGTGAGTGTGTGCGCGCACGTACACACACACACACACACACACACACACACACAAATCCCCTGAAAGGTGGTGAACCTTAACATGTAACTTCGTTTGTTACCGAAATAGATTTAAATAACTTTAACCAAATGAAGGCAAAATAAAACAACACAACTCTCAAATCCCATCCACTCAGAGACAAACTATGATGAACACTTTGTGGAATCTTCCATACTTTTTTTTTTTAATTTTAATTTTTATTTTTTATGAGAGAGAGAGAGAGAGAGAGAGAGAGAGAGAGAG